TACAAAGGGGACTTGGATCCAGAGTCCTGGATGGGTTGATACAAAGGAGACAGTAGTGGATTTGTTCACAAAGGACTAGTAGCTACAAAGGACTCATAATTTCTATAAATACCCTCATGTAATTTGTACTTTCCAGCAATCAAGTTACTCTCTACTACAACTCTTAGTGTGTAGTTTGACAGTCTCCTCAGTTAATGTTCCATCTTGCCTTGTCTTGTCTCATATTGTCTTGTTCTGAAGTGTGGCTTCATTGTTCTGCACTACTCTCATCTTGTTAATCATCACCTTTGGAACTCATACATTCTGCTCAGATCTACCTATTCCTTCTCACTCTTGACCCCTCTCAGTGTCTGTACCTTGTAGACTCAACTGACCTCTTCTACCTCAACCAGTACTTGAGATCAACACTCCTAACAAGTACTAGTACTAGTCCTTAATAGCTTCAACAATAGCAAGCATTTCTTTATCATAGATCTTATAATTTCACTCTGTAGAGTTTAGAGACTGAGATCTGAATGCTACAGGATACTATACACCATTTTGCTTTTGAGAAAGGACTGCTCTAAGTGTGTAATTAGACAAATTGGCTTCTACTCTAAAGAGATCATACTCATTTAGAATTGTAAGAACAGACTGTGAGCTTAATTGTCTCTTAAGCTCTTCCATAACCTCTCTTTACTCATTTCCCTAAGTAAATAGAACCTTCCCAGTTAGTTTAGTGAGTAGACAAGCTATTTTGCTATAGTCCTTAATGAATCTCTGATACCAGTTGTAGAAACTAGTAAACTGTTATAATTACTTTAAGTTCTTTAGTTCTGGCCATTCATTAATAGGCTTTACTTTTTTCAGGTGTATTTGAATCTCATTGTTCCCAATAATGTGTCTAAGATACTTGGTAGTAGATCTTTCAAATTCACACTTCTAAGGCTTAAGGAATAAGTGATTCTCTTACAGAATTGTAAAAACCCTTTGAACTAAGTGTTTATACTCTTTAATATCTTTAGAATAGATGAGGATATTGTCTAGATAGACAACAACTTATCTCTCATTAATTAATTAACTAAAGATATTGTTTACAAAGCTCTAGAATGTAGTAGGAGCATTTGTGAGACTAAAGAACATAACTGTAAGCTCAAACAATCCTAGATTCGTTCTGAAAGCTGCCTTCTACTCATTGCCCTCTCTAATTCAAATATTATAGTATCCTCAGCATACATTAAGCTTTGTGAAGTACTTAGAATCTTTGACCTTATCCAGAAGCTCTTGAATTAAAGGTAGAGGGTACTTGTTCTTAATAGTACCTTTATTAAGCTTTCTGTAATCTTAGATTGGTCTCAAAGATCTATCCTCCTTCTTAATAAAGAAGAAAGGCAATACTATGAGGGACTTTGAATATTGAATCCTTTCTGAAGCCAGGTTCTCAGAAATAAAATCCTTGAGCACATCTTGTTCTCTGAGAGCTAGAGAGTACACTTTACAATCTGTAGTCTTAAAATCTGGCTTTAGATCAATAGTATGGTCCTAAGATTAATGCTCTAGTAATTACTCAAAGGATTCTTTACTGAATACATTCTTGTATGCTTCAAGATAATGAGGGATTGTAAAAACCAGAGTAGGATTATCATCAGTTCTCCTTAGGTACTCTAGGACATTTGGATATGTCTCTAGTTCATTTAAGAACATGGAACAACTGTCTGAGTATCTAGTAAAGGACACAATTCCTTGTCCCTAATCAATCTCTGGATTATGCTTGTTTAACCAATCATATTCTAGAAAGATATTACTTAATACTAATGTAGTGACTGTCAGACAAATTGTCTCTGTATGTACTTTAACAGAGAGTTCCACTTTAACATAGTCCTTTAGGA